CCCGCCGCCTGGCACCGCCTCGGAGCTGGAGCTGCGGGGGAAGCGGAGCTGGCGGTGCGTGAGCCGCAGCCCCTGGCCACGGACTCCCGACCTGACAGACCCTCCTGCTGGAAGTAAAGGAGAACGAGTGGGAGCTGATTCACCACGGAATTCACACTAACGTGTCTGAGGTTCCACACTCACTACGGCGGGTGTGTGAGGTGACGTGTTTACACCGCACCTAGAGGGGAAGCGTGACGTCACGAAAAGGTTTCCCCTCAGCAGCTACAGGCACTGCTTTACTCATGTAATTAGGTCAAGACCCGTGACCAGTGACGAAAGCGCCGCGTCCACCGCAAGTCGGATGACTAGCCGACTAGCCGGAACTCTGCCAAACACTCATGGCGGACAGCTTCCCGGGAGAGGGCGCCTCTTCGGGATTTGCCTGCAAGAGGCTGTCCTGAATGGGAGTTGTGCGTTTCGCAAGCTTCCTAATTCACCTCGATACCGTGGCTTCACACCACACGTGCTTCCTGTGTAATCAGCGCCGGGAGGCGACCACAGGAACAAGCATGACGGACACCTGCCATAGCCATGATGTCTCATTAGAGATGGAACTCGTTAGAGACGGTTAAACCCTCTGGTGCAGTAGAACGAGGTGAGTGCCGCCCCTTCCACAGCAGCCTGGACAGAAGCGCAGAGAGCAGAGGAAGCTCGAGGGCCAGCTGGCGGCCTCCATCAGCTTCGAGGCCCTCCCATCTGAACACAGCACGGTGGTCAGGTGACACGAGGCCCCACCGGCCGTGAGTCTTCTGCTCCCACGAGCTCCTCATTGGAGCGACCGCCTGACGGTCCTCTCACGGAACACAGGTCGCTGGCGGGCTTCTGCGAATCTGACCTCAGGGCGAGGTCATGGGCCCGGGGAAGTCTGGGCCCTGTAACTGACATGCCCCTGCACGGCACCGGGGTACACCTGCCGCTCCCTACGGCAGGACTGAGGAACTCGGAGCGGAATGTGAATGATGCTTAAATTCCGCTCACCATCCAGATTTTCCTAGACCCCAACTCATTAGCTAATCACATGCGTCAAGGCCAGGTGTACCCACCTCGAAGACAACTTTCTCCACAGGAAGGATGAGAGCCTTTCTCTAATGAGAGCCTGACTCCCGAAGCCACGCCCTCTCCTGGTCCCTGGGCCTCTGCAGCTGCGGTGCCCTCCCCCCTCACGCAGGCAGGGAGCCCCAGCGGCTGCAGGGTCCTCAGGGAATCACATCCTGATCCCTCCTCACAGCGCAGGGCACAGAAGGGGAGGAGCAACTCAATGCATTAAAAATGCGAAATTACATGAAAGAGTGGGAATTCCCTTGATTTGTCCTCTTTAAAATGTCATCCTGATTTATTATCAATGGGGAAATCTTTTTTAAAATAAAGTTGATTTTGTTAATAGTGTTTTAAGAAAACACACAGCTCCTCCAACACAACCTGATTCAGAAAGACAAGCACGTTATGATTTCACTCATATGGGGAATCTAATGAACAAAATGAACGAACATCTGACTCACACAAAGCAGAGGGAATAGCAAGATGCAATTAGATTAGACTCTACAGCAAGTTCCCATTAGTGTAACAAGGAGGAAATGTGCACGTTACCAACAATTACCTAAACGGTGGATCAGAGAGATGCCAGCCAAAAATAACAGAACCAAAACCCAACAGTCCAGACTAAAAGTCTGAAAACCACGTGTGCAGACCACGCCCCTCCAGGTAAGTAGCCGAATGGGCAGGACTTGCCGTTCACGTACCATGCACTCCCCCCCGAGGAAGTCGGGGATGACCTCCTTGTCAATGTAGTCCAGCAGGCCCCCGGGGCCCTGGTAGTCGTTCCCGGCGTAGATGAGGAACTTCCTCCGGGTGTTGTCGTCGATGAACGGGCTGACCTGTCAGAGAGAGAGCGCAGTCACCTCTGCGGGGCCGTCTGGCTTTCAGAGGCTGAGTGACAAGGTGACACCATGAGCGGGGGAAGGGAGTGTGAGTCTGATATACTTTGTAAAGTCCGTTTGCATGGCATTGGGACACTCAGGAACCCTTTCTTCCCCTAAACCATTTGAGAAATGTTATGTCTTTCACGACAACTTGGTTTTTCTAACTCGCCAGGACTTGGGAGTCAGACGCGTGAATATGACTGTGTGGTGTGTGCCTCGCAGATGCAGCAGCTGCCGGAACAGCATCCACCCACCAGCGTCCAGAGCACAGGAAACACTCGGGGGGCCCGCAGGATCAGCAGGCGGCCCAGCGTCTCGGGGTAGTTGGCTTCCACCACCTCGATGATGCGCAGCAGGGCCTTGACGCCGGGCCTCCACAGGTGGCGCATGTTCAGCCCCTCCAGGTCCACCAGGCAGGTCCACGAGCTGCGGGCACAGACGCGTTATTCCAGGCGCACGTCGGCACACGGGGTCCCACAGCTATTGTTCTGTATTCTCGATACTATAACGCAGTCATTTCTATCCATTTCCAAAAAATGCCCGTTCTCAGAATGACAGTGCTGTGAACTAGACTGGCACCTGCTTGTAAAGGCACAAGGGTCAGTGTGGGGCACCAGCCCTGCACTCCGAGCACCGGCAGCTCACGGCCAAAGCCTGACCCTCGGCCTAACGTGCTCAGCGACCAGCAAGTAGGGCACCAGCTGCGATGACCCTGGGCTGGTCTGCACTGGGGCGGCGGCGGCCTGAGCTGCGGTGAGCTCTCCGAGTGTCCCGGAGCCAGTGCTGTCTCGGAGCTGAGGCTGCGGCGGGAACGCTGCCTGCACCCAGTCAGCCTCTCAATCCTGCACTTAGGTAACAGTTCACCGGAACTAGCAGTAGGATTGAGGAGCATGCACTAATTTTTGAAGCTCGCCCCCCACCCCTCCAAAAAATTTTTTTAAAAAACCCAGACTAACCCTAACCTGCAACCCTGGGCTCTCAAGGACCATGCAGACTAGCCAGCCTGGCCACGCCCCCGAGATGAGGGACGGCAACGCCCAGGGGTTAGAAATACCCAATCCAGCACCGCCCTCTGACGGCCACATACATGCTCACTGTCTTCTACCTTCAGAGCACTATTTAGACTTGGTTCTAAGAATCAACCGGGAACATTTAGGTCAGAGGCTCCATCAGCTGGGAGGAAAACAAAGCCGCACGTCTACCTGATGGGCCGGCCGAAGACTTTGGTGTTTTCTTCACAGCGTCTCAGCCCTTCCTCGTTGATGGAGAGGACCTACGCATAAGAGACCCCGAAAACTCAGTCAGTCTAGAGGTGACGCTACTGCTAGGCTCTCTGCGCACACACAGCTTATCCCTGACAGAGTCTCCCTCTGGAGAGGTGAGCGCTGTCCTCTGTGGCGGGGACAGAACCCCGAGTGGGGTCACAGGAGGGCGTGCCTGCTGTGGGGGTAAGTGGCTGCCGAGTGGGGGACGACACCACACCTACCGGCCCAGGGAAAGGGCGGTGTCAGGCTGACAGGAAGCACGGCCAGCGGGAACGCTGTTTGGATAACAAACCCACCCCCATACAAGCGGCCCATCACATCTTTACGGTCTATCTTTTTGTGTGTGCGCGCGTGTGGATGTGCTTGCACGCTCGTATAAGCACATAGGCGGGCTAAGAGTCCACAATAAAATGCCAACAGTGGATGTTTTAGGATCACTGGGTTGTGGATGTGCCCTTTAAAGTTTTGTTTTTTGGATTGACAGATCGTATCCCTCTCCTCATAACTGCCCACTGTGGAGGCTGCAGTGGCAGGGGCGAGGTCTAGTTCAGGTGAAAGATGCAGGAGCCCGGATCGAGGCGGTGCCAGTGGGAAGACCACTGTGAGGCGTCGGGAGTGACAGAATCTCGGAAGCAGAGTCAGGGGGTGAAGGTCAGAGAGGACGCGGACTCAGGCCCAGTGGCCATCCGAGTGCTTATGGTGACCTTTTGGTCAATGCTTCCCCATGAGAAACGTTTTTATAACTTCTGTGCCCGCCTCTGACATTTTCACATATACTAACGGCTTTTCCTTCCTGATGACAGAAGCCACACGTGCTTGCTGTCACAGGACCGTAACATCCCAATCCCGCTGTGGCCGGGCGCCCGGCCGAGCACTTACGTATCTGAGCAGGGCCTCCTCCCCGAGGGCCCTCACCAGGCCTTTGGTGTCCATCTGTCCCAGCCTGAGCACGTACAGGGGCCGCCCGTCTGCAGGAGGAAGGCAGGTGATTACACGCGGTGCTGGGTGTGCGAGGCCAATGAGCAACGCGCCCTCGAACTCGGGACGAGCTTCAAGGCCTGTCCCCCTGAGAAGCAGCTCCATGTGTACAGGAGCCCCCCAATCTCTTCCCAAAAGATGGTGAAAAGGAAACAAAAGCCACCGACAGAGCAGCTCAGCTGGTGGTGACAGGTCTGCTCGGACGAGGGGCGCCCCCTGGGCACCCGCTCGGCTCACTTCACACCCAGGACTGAGCAGAGCTCCGCCCTCAGCGTCAGGGCGTCCCCCTCAGACAGCTTTCCTGCGAGCAGCCCTGTGCTGCTTCCTTCACAGGCTACCGACAACACAACGCAACGCCAGGGTCTGGGAGAGCCGGCTCCCTCCCTTCCCGCCCTGGGAACCAGGTAACGGAGCCCTTTGTGGAATCGTAAACCCCTAACAACCAGCACAGGCCGGCTCTGCTTCACAGCTGGAGGCCTCGTGCATGGAGCCTGGGAGGACTCACGCACTGGGTCACAGGAGCCTGCTACCCAGACGGAAATGGCCTTGATGGCCAGTGTCCCCAGCGGTCCTAGCCCCTCCGCTTGGGGCCGCAGGACAGCAGCGGAGAGGACAGGTGGCGCTGCTGCTGAGAAGACACCAAGACGCCTCCTGCTGTCCAGCAGGGTCAGCGCTGCCCCCGACCTGGGGCCACTGTTCCCTGTATCACCACCGGAACCGCACCTCCTGGGAGATGAGGTCTAGATCCGCTGCATCTACTTCAGCAGAGGGCCTTGTGCTCCCTAGTCTTGTTGAAGGAGGATTTAGAAAAACCCCTCCCGGGACTAATGAGATACATTTGTCGGTGTCTTCTACCAAACCTTCCCATCTCTGAGGGTCACAAATGGAATAGATACAAACTCCAGTGACATGAGTAAAGCAACACGTAGCCTGAGAGGCAGGAACAGGAAGTCAGGGAAGGGAGCCGCCCCAGCTGCTCGGGTGAGAGGTACCGGCCTTGGGGCGGGGAGTTCCGGGCGGCCTGGGCAGCGCCGCGTCTGGGCTTCCATTCTGGAAGCTGAGTCGGGGAACAGGGCGCGTGCCCGTGACAACGCAGCTCTCCCACAGGCGTGACAGGGAAAGCAGCCCACGAGGGGCTCCCGCTCACGCCGCGTTTAGGTGGCCACTGTCCTCGGCTTGCTTCTGCTCCTCCCCCAGCCAGAGCTGCCGCCCTCCCCTGCCCGGAGGTGGAATCTGGCTGTGCTCCCTCACAGGCGCGCCCCCACCAGCACTGTGCTCCTCACAGCTGCCCTCCGCCTCCACGCAATTCAGAGAGGACGGAAGTGACTGCCCAGGGCACCGCGAGGCCTGAGGAAGAAGCAAAGGGCCCGGCCCTTCCTCAGACTCCGGGCCTTTCCGGGTGGCTTAGGAGCGCGAAGCTGCCGTGATGACATGGGCATCAGTGTGTCCAGGCGGCGGGCGGGGAGGGAGGAGGCCCTCAGGGCCCACTTCGCTCGGTGGGAGGAGGTCTCGCTCCCAGCACGGCCTGCGTGCAACATCCTCGCTACCTTTGTCGTGGTGGTGCCAGCCTCCCGCGTAGTAGTCCTGCAGGACCTGGGGCGGGTTCCAGGTGTCGAGGATGTAGTCCACCTGGTGCTGCTTGCGCCAGGTCAGCGACTGGCACATGATCTCTCTGGCTTTGTCAATGTTGAAGTCCCGGGCACGTAGGAACCGGAGAATGTGCTCGTCTTTGGGGATCTGTTGAGAGAAGAGGTGCTGGAAGCAAGCGATGCTGCAAGTTGCTCCGGAAAAACACCAGTTACCAAGGGCAAGACTCCCCAACGCTCACTTCGTATCACGATGGGCTGGCGCTAGCCGGTTTGGCTCAGTGGATAGAGCATCGGCCCACGGACTGAAGGGTCCCTGGTTTCCCTTTACTAAGTTATGCCAGTGCGACTAGACACACAAACGTGCCTCTGCTCGCTCCAGACCCCATTAGTCAGAGGCTTATTATAAAAACCCGATTCCTTATGAGGCTAAAACTCTACCAAAAACTTCAAAACCAAAGCTCAAACATTTCTCATCTCTGAACAACCTGTGAACTCCTTCCAAATCTTGTAGACGGGTCACTGTTTTCAAGCGAAACCATTCTCTGTGACACTCGGGAAAGGGTACACAGCCTGCCAGGGGACTGGTGCCACTGGACCCCGAGGCGTGACTTTAGGTTGGAAGGGCAGCCCCAGCCGTGGTAGGCGGGACAGTGACTGAGCAATGGTGGGCGAGACCAGGCCCACGGTTCCCCCAGCACAGCATGCGCGACCAATGCTCACTTTGCCCTTGTGGGTCTCCTGGAGCCACTGGCGCAGCCGGATCAGGCAGCTCTCCTGCAGCGGGGTCAGGTCGCCCAGGTACCTCTTAATGTAGTCTGCGTCCAGCTTGTCTGCAACGGAAGTCACATGCCATCCGTTACAACAGGCACCCCGGAACCCCAGTACCACAGCGCCCTGCTCTGTGAAGCCACGTGTGGTCCAGTCTCGGGACTCAGGGACTCCAGAGGGAACCGGGCCACCCCAGGACACCTGGAGGGCAGCCTTTAAAACCTAATCCCTGACCCAGCCCCAGGTGACTAGCTGGATCTATTGTTCCCTAGTTGCCAACACGTCCCCTCGATTTGCAAAATCTCAATATTCATGGCAGAATAATGGCTATTACAGGTATTTAATGACTTTTCATTAAAAGTTATATAAAGAGAACTTACATGATCTAAAACTATGAAATGCAACAAATGGATCTAAACCTGTTTTAAACAGAGCTGTGTTCAAGAAGACAAGAAATCTCTTTCATGCTAAGGTAGCATAAACTGCAAAAATGAGGTAGAAAATTAAGCACAGCAAAGAAAAATTCACAAGGTGCAAAACGGGACGTAGCCCCAACCGGGGAAACGCCTGCCGCCTGCTGAAAGCAGCCAACGGCCTAGTTTAGCTAGAGAAAGGCGCAGAGAAAGGTAAATATCAACAGTTTCACGAGGCTCCCGGGTGGTAGAATTTTCTTATTTTACAATGGGCTTCACTGAGAAATGAGGAAGCTGTGTGTATGTGTGTGAGTGTGCACACGCACAGCCCAGCTGACCAGCCTCGGAGACAGCCTGCCACGGACAGCTGTGTGACTACGCAGGTGCCTCCGCGCCTCGGTGCCCCGCGGAGCACTCCAGCCCCACAGGCCCGTGTGAAAGGGGTTCACAGAGTGCTTAGGACAGGGCCCGGCACAGTGAGCGCAAAGCGACGACGCAGAGTTGTGTTAAAGCCGTAAGGTGCCACCCTGCGTTCACTGAAGATGCGATCAGCCACAGTAAGTGGAAGACATTTCTGGTGTCATAACTTGACGTGACCCTTCCGCCCACTGAAGACAGACTGCGTGTCTTCACTCTGAGAGACACCTCGATGAAGTGCTGCGTAAGCTGGAGGAAGGGGGCCTGCGAGAGCTGCGTCTCCTCCTACATGACGTCTAATGTCCTACGGGAACTAGAGGCAGAGTCACCGGAGAGGAAGCGACCCACCGTCGGGGGTCCCCGCGGCGGGCTCAGAGGCCCCGCTCGGGCTGCTGAGGGCCTCGCTG